TCACGTTAAAAACTCTCAATAAACTAGGTATTCAAGGAACATACTTCAAAATAATAAGAGCCATCTATGACAAACCCAAAGCCAACATCATACTGAATGGGCAAAAGCTGGCAGCATTCTGCTTGAAAATTGGCACAAGATAAGGATGCTCCTCTGCCACCACCTCTATTCAACATAGTATTGGAAGTCCTGACCAGAGCAATTAGGCAAGAGAAAAAGAGGAGAGGAGAGAAGAGGAGAAGAGAGGGAAAGGACAAGGAAAGGGAGAGAAAGAGGGAAAGGAAGGAAAAGAAAAAGAAAGAAAGAAAGGAAGGAAGGAAGGAAGGAAGGAAGGGAAGGAAGGAAGGAAGGGAGAGAGAGAGAGAGAGAGAAAGAGAGAAAGACAAAGAAAGAAAGAAAGAAAGAAAGAAAGAAAGAAAGAAAGAAAGAAAGAAAGAAAGAAAGAAAGAAAAGAAAGAAAGAAAGAAAGAAAGGAGGGAAGGGGAGGAGGGAGGGGAGGGGGAGGGGGAGGGGAGGGAGGGAGAAGAGAGGAAAGAAAGAGAAAGAAAGAAAGAAAGAAAGAAAGAAAGAAAGAAAGAAAGAAAGAAAGAAAGAAAGAAAGAAAAGGAAAAGAAAGAGAAAGAAAGGGAAAGAAAAGAAAGAGAAAGAAAGGAGAGGAGAGAAAGAGACAAAGAAAGAAAGAAAGGAGGGAGGGAGGGAGGGAAAAGAAAAGGTATTCAAATAGCAAGACAGGAAGTCAAACCACCCGTTTGCAGACAACATGATCCTGTATCTAGAAAACCTCATACTCCCAGTCCAAAAGCTCAATAAGCTTATAAACAGCTTCAGTCAAGTCTCAGGATACAAAATCAAAGTGCAAAAAAATCCCTAACATTCCTGTATACCAACAGTCAAGCCAAGGGCCAAATCAGGAATGCAATCCTATTTACAATTACCAACAGAAAATAAAATATCTAGGAAGACAGCTAACCATGGAGTAAAGATCTCTACAAGAAGAACTACAAAACACTGCTCAAAGAAATCAGAGATGACATGGGTCAGGTGCGGTGGCTCACACCTGTAATCCCAGCACTTTGGGAGGCTGAGGCAGGTGGATCACAAGGTCAGGAGATCGAGACCATCCTGGCTAACAGGGTGAAACCCCGTCTCTACTAAAAATACAAAAAATTAGCCAGGCGAGGTGGTGGGCGCCTGTAGTCCCAGCTACTCAGGAGGCTGAGGCAGGAAAATGGCGTGAACCCGGGAGGCGGAGCTTGCAGTGAGCCTATATCGCACCACTGCACTCCAGCCCGGGCGGCGATGCAAGACTCGGTCTCAGAAAAAATAAATAAATAAATAAAAGAAATCAGAGATGACACAAACAAATGGAAAAACAGTCGATGCTCATGGACAGCAAGAAGCAATATCGTTAAAATGGCCATACTGCCGAAAGCAATTTATGGATTCAATGCCATTCCTATTCAACTAACATTGACATTCTTCACAGAACTAGAAAAAGTATTTTAAAATTCATATGGAACCAAAAAAGGGCCCAAATAGCCAAGGCAATCCAGAGCAAAAAGAACAAAGCTGGGCCGGGCGCAGTGGCTCACGCCTGTAATCCCAGGATTTTGGGAAGCCAAGGTGGGAGGATCATCTGAGGTCAGGAGTTCGAGATCAACCTGGCCAACATGGCGAGAGCCCATCTCTACTAAAACTACAAAAATTAGCTGGAAGTGGTGGCTCATGCCTGTAATCCCAGCTACCCAGGAGGCTGAAGCACGAGAATCACTTGAACCCAGGAGGCGGCGGTTGCAGTGAGCCAAGATCATGCCACTGCACTCCAGCATGGGTGACAGAGCAAGACTCTGTCTCAAAAAAATAATAATCAAATAAAAATAACAAAGCTGGGAGTACCATGCTACCCAACTTCAAACTATACTATAGGGCTACAGTAACCAAAACAGACACAGACCAATGGAACAGAATAGAGAACCCAGTTGACCAGGCACAGTGGCTCACGCCTATAATCCCAGCATTTTGGGAGGCCGAGGCGGGTAGATCACTTGAGGTCAGGAGCTCGAGACCAGACTGGCCAACACGGCAAAACCCTCTCTCTACTAAAACTACAAAAATTAGCTGGGCATGGTGGTACACACCTGGAATCCCAGCTACTTGGGTAGCTGAGATGCAAGAATCACTTGAAGCCAGAAGGGAGAGGTGGCAGTGAGCTGAGAGCATGCCACTGCACTCCAGCCTAGGTGATGAAGCAACACTTGTCTCAAGAAAAAAAAAAAAAAAGACTACCCAGAAATAAGGCCGCATGTACAACTATCTGATCTTCGACAAACCTGACAAAAACAAGCAATGGGGAAAGGATTCCCTATTCAATAAGTGGTGCTGGGCTACCACGTGCACGAGATAGAAACTGGACTCCTTCCTTACACCATATGCAAAAATTAACTCAAGATGGATTAAAGACTTAAGTGTAAAACCTAAATCTATAAAAACCCTGGAAGACAACCTAGGCAATACCATTCTGGACATAAGAACAGGCAAAGATCTCATGACATAGACACTAAAAACCATTGCAACAAAAGCAAAAACTGACAAATGGGCTCTAATCAACGAAAGAGCTTCTGCACAGAAAAGGAAACTATCCACAGAGTGAACCAACAATCGACATACTGCGAGAAAATAATTGAAAACTATGCATCTGACAAAGGTCTAATATTCAGTATCTAAAAGGAACCTAAGCAAATTTACAAGAAAAATCCACCCCATTAAAAAGCGGGCAAAGGACATAAACAGACACTTTTCAAAAGAAGACAGACATGGTCCCAAAAAACATAGGAAAAAAGCTCAACATCACTGATCATTAGAGAAGTGCAAATCGAAACCACAAGGACATACCATCTCACACCAGTCAGAATGGCTATTACTAAAAAGTCAAAAAATAACAGATGCTAGTGAGGTTGCAGAGAAAAAGGAATGCTTATACACTGTTGGTGGGAGCGTAAATCAGTTCAATCATTGTGGAAGACAGTGTGGCAATTCCTCAAAGAACTAAAAAGAGAAATACTATTTGATCCAGCAATCCTGTTATTGGGTATATACCCGAAGGAACAGAAATCATTCTTCCATAAAGACACATGCATGTGGGCGGGGCGCAGTGGCTCACACCTGTAATCTCAGCACTTTGGGAGGCCGAGGTGGGTGGATCACCTGAGGTCAGGTGTTCAAGACAAGCCTGGCCAATGCGGCGAAACCCCATCTCTGCTAAAAATACAAAAATTAGCCAGGCCTGGTGGCAGGCGCCTGTAATCCCAGCTACTCGGGAGGCTGGGGTAGGAGAATCGCTTGAGCCTGGAAGGCAGAGGTTGCAGTGAGCCGAGATCCCACCACTGCACTCCAGCCTGGGCAACAAGAGCAAAACTCCGTCTCAAAAACAGAAAGAGACACATGCATGTGTATGTTCACTGCAGTACTATTCACAATAACAAAAGACAAAGAATCATCTAATGCCCATCAGTGGTAGGTCAGATAGAGAAAATATGGTACATATACAACATGGAATATTATGCCGCAGTAAAAAGGATCGAGATCATGTCCTTTGCAGGAACACAGATGGAGCTGAAGGCCATTCTCCTTAGCAACCTAATGCAGGAACAGAAAACCAAATACCACATGTTCTCACATTCTGTAGGTTGGTTGTTCACTCTGTTGATACAGGAGACAGCTAAATGGTGAGAACATGTGGATACATACAGGAAAATGACACACACTGGGGCCTAGTAGAGGGAGGAAGTCGGAAGCAGGAAGAAGTCAGGAAAAATAGGAAGTGCTAGGCTTAATACCTGGGTGACAAAATAATGTGTACCACAAACCCCCATAACACAAGCTTACCTATACGACAAACCTGCATATGTACCCCTGAACTTGAAAGCTAAACTCTTAAAAAAAAAAATTCTCATAACTTCGGAACTAAATAACCTCAGTATTCTTAGTAGATTAATGTAAACTTAAAAAGACTCAAAGTTTGAACTTAGTGTTCGTCGCAGTACTTTATAGTCATTCAGAAACCATTTTCTGTAAACTGTAAAATAGACCATATGAGTAAAAACATACTGATGCTTTTGGAAACTAGGATTCTCAGTGTGAGAGAAAGCACATACAAATTTGGAATGGGGAAAATAAGGAAGAAAGGTGTGCTGTTAGATTTGAATTGAAGGCTTACATTTTTAATCATAATCACAAGTATAAACTTGTGATTTCACAAAAATCTATTTCCTAGCCAAATCCCATCACTGTTTTTATACAGCCCATAACTAAAGATGGTTTTTATATCTTTTTCTTTTTTGAGACAGAGTCTCACTCTGTTGCCCAGGCTGGAGTACAGTGGCGCAATCTCGGCTCACTGCAGCCTCCACCTCCTGGGTTCAAACAATTCTCCTGCCTCAGCCTCCCGAGTAGCTGGGACTACAGGTGTGCACCACCATGCCCGGCTAATTTCTGTATTTTTAGTAGAGACGGGGTTTCACCATGTTGCCCAGGCTGTCTTGAATTCCTGGCCTCGAGCAATCTGCCCGCCTCAGCCTCCCAAAGTGCTGGGATTATAGGTGTGAGCCACCAAGCCTGGCCTGTTTTTACATTTTTAATGTAAAATGTAAAAACTATAACTATCCTTGTGGTGAGGATAGAAACTCAAAGACTTGAAGACATTGTCTCTTGGCCTGCAAAAACTAAAAGATTTATTATCTGGAGGAAGTTTACTAACCCTTGAACTAGACTATACAATTGTTAGAAATATTTAAAGTAAAACAGGAGAACTTAAATGTGTTATGCTTCATTTAGTCTCAATGTTTAAATAACTACTAACTGGTTGGCTGTTCTGCCAATTCAACATATGTAAGCAGAGAGAGCATCATACACACATGCGCAGAGAGCCTCAAAGAAAGATAGGGTTTTCGGACCTCAAAACTCAAACAAATCATTGGGTACTAATTCTCTCCTGACATTACCTTCGGTGCCTTTTCACCTTTTCTTTCATACTGATTTCGTTGTTGAATTTTCTCAGCAATTTCTTGGGCAATTTGACAAGTAGAATCGTATGTGGAGAACCTGCATCAAAGTCGTAAAAAGAGAAAAGTATAAGGTTCAGCAATTTCTGGGCAATTTGACAAGTAGAATCGTATGTGGAGAACCTGCATCAAAGTCGAAAGAGAAAAGTATAAGGTTTTTTTTTTTTTTTTTTTTTTTTTGAGACAGAGTCTTGCCTACCCGGGCGACAGAGCGAGACTCTGTCGCCCGGGTTGGAGTGCAGTGGCCGGATCTCAGCTCACTGCAAGCTCCGCCTCCTGGGTTTACGCCATTCTCCTGCCTCAGCCTCCCGAGTAGCGGGGACTACAGGCGCCCGCCACCTCGCCTGGCTAGTTTTTTGTGTTTTTAGTAGAGACGGGGTTTCACTGTGTTAGCCAGGATGGTCTCGATCTCCTGACCTGGTGATCCGCCCGTCTCGGCCTCCCAAAGTGCTGGGATGTATAAGGTTCTTTAGAAGAAATCTTTGCCCTAAGTTTGACATTTTCATTCTAGGCAAAGAATTCGAACAGAAGGGAAGAAGAGTAACATCACCAGTAAAAGCAACATGAACTGAGCGTTATTTACCATGTGCCAGGCACTACTCTGAAGGCTTCGTTAGTAATAACTCACTTAATCTAAACAGGAACGCTATGAAGTGGGTACCATTACCATCTCCAACTCGCACAGGAAAAAAGGAGGCACAAGGAGGTAAAGTGACTTGCCCCAGTGGTTCTGCCTGCTGCAAACCAAGGCTGTCTGGCCCCAGAGCCAAGGCTCTTAATGTGGGGGCCTCCGCTGCACTGGGCATGTTCTGAGCACTGGTACAGCAGTGAACAGAATGAACACAGTCCCTCTTTCAAGGAGCCCGTATCTTAGGGAAAGAAAGTCATAAAACAAATAAATACATAGTATGTCAGGTGTTGACAGGTGCTAAGAAGAAAAATGCAGCAGGATAAAGGGACAGAGAGTGATGAGGAGCTGCTACTTACGTTCAGGTGACACTGAGGCAAGGTGAAGAAGCTGGCCTCACAGATGCCTGGGCGACAGCTCTAGGGTGCAGGAACAGCAAGTACTGTCTAGCCTAAAACCAAATGCTCTGGGGACAAAGGCCCCACACCCACCTGACATCTGAGCTTGCCAGAATTCTCTCAAAACATTTAATAAGCTTCTAGTTGTTATTCAGCAGGGTTGGAGGCTTTGAAGGGTTCACAGTGAACTCCCAATAGCCCCTGATGTTTTGCTTCTCTCAGAGCATTTTTACTTTCTATCATATAGAAAATACTTAACCAGACCGGGCGCGGTGGCTCATGCCTGTAATACCATCACTTTGGGAGGCCGAGGCGGGCGGATCGTGAGGTCAGAAGTTCGAGACAAGCCTGGCCAACATAGTGAAACCCCCCCTCTCGACTAAAAATACAAAAAATTAGCCAGGCATGGTGGCGGGTGCCTATAATCCCAGCTACTTGGGAGGCTGAGGCAGGAGAATCGCTGAACCCGGGAGGCGGAGGTTGCAGTGAGCTGAGATCGTGCCACTGCACTCCAGCCTGGCGACAGTGTGAGACTCCGTCTCAAACAAACAAACAAAAAAACGAAAATACTTAAGCAGGGATACACATTTCATTTCTCCCACCAGGCAGTCTGCTCCTAAAAAGCAGGGACTCTGTGGACTAACGTGACCAGCATTCTTTTCCAGGCCTAGTCCATTACAAAACATTGGAACCTCCCGTTGGCTCTAATGTCCTAAGTTTTGCTTGAGTAAACAATATATTTTTTGAAACCTTCCAATTCCCACGTATCATTTGAACACTGAGGGAACTTGATAAGTGGTTTTTTTAAATGAAGGAAAATGTGCCCATCAATTCCCTTAGGAATCTTACTAGAGTAATTATAGCAATAGTCACAGCTGAGTACCTGACCTGAGCCAGGTCCTATGCTAAGAGCTTTATATTGTAAAGTTCGTAAGGCTCCTGAGGGAGGATCCTGAACCACTAACCACTATACTCTACTCTAAAGCAGCACCATTCACGTATATATCATATATATATCATACACATTCACATATATCATACATATCACTGATACATATATTCATACATATCACATATGTATCATTTATATCCATATATACTATATATTCATATATATCACATGTACATCATTCATATATGTATTCATGTATGTGTGTGTATGGAAAAATAGCAGTATACAAGAAAACACAGAATTAAGAAAATAGCAGGCTAATAAGGAAAATTGGGTCCTGCTCCCAACTTTGCCACATTTCACCTTTTTTTCCTCCATATTATCATGAAAAGAGGAGCCTAGGTCTGGCTCTAGGGTCCAGACCATACATATAAAAATCAACCACATATAGTAAGTTTTGCCTCCTGCCAAATATGGGATCTAAGTGGTAAGTATGTCTGGAGTTCAGAGGTGGGAAAGATTACTGTTGGCCAAGGCGCTCAGATGGAAAAGGTCCGTGAGGTTACATCTGGATGACCACAAGGTTAAAACAGGTCTCTTATTCAGACAGGAGGCAGGAGCACATTCTAGACTTAGTGAAAGACAGAGCAAGCAAAGATGAACAGAAAGGAACGTGTCCGGCACGTCTGGCTGCGTGGTGGCCCTGGAAGCCTGGTAAGTAAAAAATGGTAGACATGAGTAGAAGCTAGTTTCTGCAGAGCCTTGAACACCAGTCTAACAAGGTTAGACTTCAAGGAGAATTTTAGAGCCATAGAGAACACTTTTACACACAGAGAGAGGCCCTAAAGAGGTTATGAGAAATATAACAGCTGCCACAAACTCCCAGGTGTCCTGACTCCAGTCCTTGTGTTGTTATTTTAGCCCTAAAGAGCAGTAGTTCTGAAACAAGTTGGAATCACTGGGGAATCTTTAAAAAAATGACAATGCCTGGTCCCAACCTCAGCATTCGGATCGAACTGGTATGGGGTTTGTCCTGGGTGTGGGGAGCTTTAAAAGTTTTCTGAGATTCCAATCTGTGGCAAAGTCCAGGAACCCTTGGCCTGGGGTAACAGACAACCTTATTACACTATCAAGCACACAGGTGCCTGAAGTATTAGTTTAGAAAAAGTAATCTGGCAGAGGGGCTGAGGCAGGAGAATCCCTTGAACCCGGGAGGCAGAGGTTGCAGTGAGCCGAGATCGCACTATTGCACTACAGCCTGGGAGACAAGAGAGGCTTCATCTAACAAAAAGAAAAAAAAAAAAAACATAATCTGGGTCAGGCATGGCTGTGGTGGCTCACGCCTGTAATCCCAGCACTTTGGGAGGCCAAGATGAGCGGATCACCTGAGGTCAGGAGTTCAAGACCAGCCTGGCCAACATGGTGAAACCCCGTCTCTACTAAAACCACAAAAATTAGGCAGGTATGGTGGCGGGTGCTTGTAATCCCAGCTGCTCGGGAGGCTGAGATAGGAGAATCACTTGAATTCAGGAGGCAGAGGCTGCAGTGAGCCAAGATCGTGCCACTGCACTCCAGCCTGGACAATGGAACAAGACTCAGTCTCAAAAAAAAAAAAAAAAAGTTGTGGAGGGCAGAGATGAAACAAGAATGGCAGAATATTGATAATTACAGAAATTGGGTGGTGAGTATGAAAGGGACCCATTGTACTATTCTAGTTTGTGTATCTTTTACTTTCCAAAATAAAGTTTTTAAAAAGCAAATCAACAAAAAGAAGACCTCGAGACCATCCTGACTAACACGGTGAAACCCCGTCTCTACTAAAAAATACAAAAAAACTAGCCGGGCGAGGTGGCGGGCGCCTGTAGTCCCAGCTGCTCAGGAGGCTGAGGCAGGAGAATGGCGTGAACCCGGGAGGCGGAGCTTGCAGTGAGCTGAGATCCGGCCACTGCACTCTAGCCTGGGCGACAGAGCGAGACTCTGTCTCAAAAAAAAAAAAAAAGAAGACCATGCTACCAACATAAAAAGTCCAATCAGGAATATAAAACTATTAAGGTTTAAGTGTAATTTTTCTGGAAACAGTATATCATCAACAAATAAGTTACCCTGGCGGTAAAGCTAATTAATGTTAGCAAAGAACCAGTTCAGAGACAGTATCATGTGCTACTTTTGTTAAACAGCGAGCTTACCATTTGTTTTGATAGTCCATTAAAATAGTAACTGCTCTATTCTATTTCTAAACACTGAGGGAGGTGCCAATGACCTATGATTTTAGCAACACAAAGGTAAAACTGTAGTTGAATTTGTTTTTATAGGTTTTTTGTTTGTCTCGCTTTGTTTTGACGTGGAGTCTCACTCTGTCACCTAGGCTGGAGTGCAATGGTGCGATCTCAGCTCACTGCACATCTGCCTCCCAGGTTCAAGTGATTCTCCTGCCTCAGCCTCCTGAATAGCTGGTATTACAGGCGTGCACCACCATGCCCAGCTAATTTTCGCATTTTTAGTAGAGACGGGGTTTCACATGTTGGTCAGGCTGGGCTCAAACTCCTGGCCTTTTATAGGTTTTTAAAGAAGGTGGAGGGCAATTTAGGAATATGTATTGTAAACCAAAAATAAAATTCTAAGGCCTCCTGGACCCGCAACCATCTGCATGGATCCCACCCCCCAGGCAAGGGCATTCCAAAGTTAACCTGAAACAGGCCTTAAGTCTGATAAGAAACATTTACAATCTATTCTCTCTAAAGCCTGCTACCCAGAGGCTTCATTTGCATGATAAAATCTTGGTCTCCACTACCCCCTATCATAACCCAGACATTCCTTTCTATTGATAATAAGTCAACCAATTGCCAATCAGAAAATTTTTCAAACTACTTATGACCTTGAAGCGTCCCCCACCCCCTTCGAGGTGTCCCGCCCTTCTGGTTGAGCCATCATAAATCTCACATGTATTAACTCATGTATTATTCTTCCTAAATTGTATAAAAGCAAGCTGTTCCCCAACCACCTTGGGCACAGGTCTTCAGAACCTCCTGAGGCTGTGTCACGGGTGCATTTTTTTTTTTTTTTTTTTTTTTTTTGAGACGGAGTATCGCCCTATCGCCCAGACTGGAGTGCAGTGGCGCGATCTCGGCCCACTGCAACCTCTGCCTCCCAGGTTCAAGCGATTCTCCTGCCTCAGCCTCCCAAGTAGCTAGGATTACAGGCGCGCACCTCCATGCACAGCTAATTTTTTTTGTATTTTTAGTAGAGACCGGGTTTCACCATGTTGGCCAGGCTGGTCTCGAACTCCTGACCTCGTGATCCACACGGGTGCATTCTTAACCTTGGCAAAATAAACTTCCTAAATTGATTGAGTCCTGTCTCAGATACTTTGGGGTTCACAGTATCAAAGGCCTTAAAAATGTTCATACCCTTCAGCCCTCACTTTCAACAATCTAATGAAAAAGCCACTTAGTCAAACTAATTGAGAATAACAAAAAACAATAATAAATGCTTTCACTTTCAACAGTTCTAATTCCTACTTCTAGACAGGGAACCCAAGGAAATAAGAGATGGAACAAAGGAACTGCCTTTGCAATCATAAAACAAAACAAAACATCAAAAAAACAAAAAACTAATAGGAGAAAAATAAATTATGGTCATTCATGTGATGCATTATTATGCAACATAAGAAAATTATGAGGCCAGGTGTGGTGGCTCACACCTGTAATCACAGCACTTTGGGAGGCCGAGGCAGGCAGATTGCCTGAGCTCAGGAGTTCGAGATCAGCCTGGGCAACACGGTGAAACCCTGTCTCTACTAAAATACAAAAAATTAGCTGGGTGTGGCAGCATGCGCCTGTAGTTCCAGCTACTCTGGAAGCTGAGGCAGGAGAGTTGCTTGAACCCGGGAGGTGGAGGTTGCAGTGAGCCAAGATCACGCCATTGCATTCCAGCCTGGGTGACAGAGCAAGACTCCGTCTCAAAAAAACAAAAAAGAGAGAGAAAGAAAATTATGTTTTCAAAGAATGTCCAATGACATAGAGAAATGCTGTTTTACTATATATAAAATACAGATTAAAGTAACAAATTCATTGTTAAAAATTAAATAATGGCTATTTCCAAATTATAGAGTTAAAGATACTATTTATTTTCCTCTGCAAATTTTCAATATTCTCCAAATTGGATATTCTCTATCAAGGGGTGTATATAACTGTTAAAATTAGGGATTTGGGATTTTTGGTTTTTTGGTTTTTTTTTTTTTTTGAGGTGGAGTTTCGCTCTTGTTGCCCAGGCTGGAGTGCAATGACGCTATGTTAGCTCACCACAACCTACATCTCTCGGGTTCAAGCGATTCTCCTGCCTCAGTCTCCTGAGTAGCTTGGATTACAGGCACCCGCCACCACGCCCAGCTGATTTTGTAATCTTTAGTAGAGAGGGGGTTTCTCCATGTTGGTCAGGCTGGTCTCGAACTCCCGACCTCAGGTGATCCGCCTGTGTTGGTCTCCCAAAGTACTGGGATTACAGGCATGAGCCACCACCGCGTCCGGCCTAAAATTAGGTCTAAAAAAGTCAATGCTAAATTAAATAACTGACCCAAATAGCCTAGATTCCAGGTAACTCAACTCTGTTCTTGGAACTCATTCTTCTAATATCCAGGCTGAGGGTAACTTAAAGAATTATAAACTATATTAGAAATAACAACATAAGACATATATTCCAACAAGAACGTTATAGAGCTGTAATGTTTTTAATTATTAAGCAGAAAGGTCAAGTCTATGTTCAATAACAATATGTTCCTTGGGATCAAACAATATGTTCCTTGAGATCAAAAGTTGCATCTTTCATCAAGCAGTCCTTGGGATTAACTGCTAAATAAATGACCCTTATCAGCTATTGTTTTACTGCAGAAGCTACTGCTAAAGGAAAAGACTTCATGATATTAACTCAAGAAAGTGCAAAATGCCTTATAAACAAGTGCACAATTTCCCTCCCAGATTCCTGTATCTGGAAGGGCCCCCAGGATCTAGGTCTTAGACCCAGCTAGTTACTAACTGGCTGGTGACCATGGATTCTGAACCTCGGTTTCTCCACCTGTGAAATAAGGGGGTTTACCGAGATGGACAGACATGCTACAAAAAGGTTATTTCGACTTCACTTTTATAGGAGTCCAAGGAAGCCTGCACCGGCCAGCTCCACAACTAGGATGGGCGGGAAATCTCCGCAGCGAGATGCAGCCCAGAAAAGCTAGAGGAATATTCAGAGATTTGGCTCTAATCCTCAGCTCTCCAGCTGACCACCCGGTCTCCTTCCCCAGCTACCCTTGGAAGGAACAAGGGTGGCGGGAGGTGGCTGAGTCCCCTCAGTAGAGGAAGGGTCTCGCTGCCCCTCCCCTCATCCCGAAAGGCCTCCAGGGGCAAAGTGAAGTGATCGCCAGCTCCCCGGAAGCCCGGCTTCCCCGAAGGTCCCTCCGCGCACCGCCACCCTCACCCTGGGCTCACCAGGGGTCCGGTGCCATCCTGCAGACTCCGCCCGCCGCTCGGACTCTTCCTGCTCTTAGCAGCTGACTACGGCGGCCCGCACGGCTCACTCCCCGCAGTTCGTCCCGTGCGCGACCGGAGCCTGGAGTTTGCAAAGTGGATAACTAGAGCCTAAGAACCATGATCAGAGAAAGGAAAGTGCTCCCCTGGGAACAGTTGGCTGGCGCAATCTACTCCCACTAAGAGACGCGAACAGCTGAGCTCAGTTAAAATTGTTAAATAGAAACTAAGCATTTTCCCAGGAAAGTGGGAGCGCTGCAAGACCTCTGTAGCAGTTACTTAAAAATGTATCCTGCTTCAAAAAAACAAAACAACAAACAAAAAACTAGATTGCGGTAAGACTTGCACGCTTCGTAAACTTACTACAACCTACTTTAAGTTAACTTTATGATATGTAAATTATACCTCAATAACGCTTTTTTAAAATATATTTTAAATATTTTTTCACGCTGCTTTAAACAGGGGCCCAAAGAAGTATCAATTTTATATACATATATATATATATATATATATATATATTTATAGCAGCCTTCCCATCAGTCCTCTATGCTTGATTACATATTTTTAAAAATGCCATTCATTTGGTGCTTGATTTTAGAGTTACTAAGAAGTCACAGACTCAACACGAGGGGATGGAGGAATTAGTTCTGTGCAGTTAGTGCCATCTCCTAAATTTCCAGAGAAACAGCAGACACAAAAAAGAAGAATCCCACCCTATCTCCCTCCCAGTCCCTATCTCCCTTCATTTCCAAGAATGCTAATGAACTCGAATTCGGCAGGCTGGGTTTCTGCGCGGGCGTGGAGCTGGCGCGCATGCGCTCGTCCGTTACCATAACGACCAGAAGACGCTGCACCCACTAGGGCGGAGAGCAAAGTAAGCAGAACCTCCCGGGGATGGATAACAAAATTTCGCCGGAGGCCCAAGTGGCGGAGCTGGAACTTGACGCCGTGATCGGCTTCAATGGTGAGGCCTCCAGCATTTTTGGGCTGGCTGGTTTAGGAACTCGGAGGACCTGTAGTGCAAACAGGAACAGTGAGACACCGGGGACACCTGAAAGGCAGTGTGGGACTACGGCAGGAGCCCTGGTCAGGGACACACACAGGAGGACCCGCATAGCCTGACCCTCCCCAAGGCCTTGGAGAGTCACTTCCTCGATCCGAGAGCCTCAGGGAGTGGGATGGTTTTTACCAGCTCTGACAAGCCCCAGCTCCTAAAAGGGACCAAATGCCTCCTCCCCAGGCGGGCCAGATGAGTACGGGTGGTTGTAACTCTTCTCCCACTAGGTCAGCCCTTCCTGGCTCTGAGCTCCACGCCGCCCGCAAAGCCCTAGGCTCCTTCGTAACCACACAGAAGGATGCTGTCTGTGTCGGCCCCTGGGACTAGCTAGGAAATCTGCTAAAATCCCAACTGGCGTACCGGTGAGAAGGGGCTAGGACGGAACGTGTGTTTGAGCAACTCCCTGAGGGATGATCTTGGTCCTCTAATCCTAAGGAAGGTTTCTAAATGGTGAGGATTTCAGACAAGGACAGAAGGGAAAGGGACGCCAGGGGGAGCTGAAGCGGAGAGAAAAAGGGTCTGGGACACTCCGCTGAAATCTTATTTGTGACTGCCTTTTGTTTTGAAGATTCTGGGAGGGAAAAGCTGTGGGATTTTATTGTTCATTTTGAGGGGTTTTGGTTTTTTGAGGGATGAGAAAACAATGAATGATTTTAGGAGAAACAAAACTTTTCAAAAATGTGTGTTGTGATGCCTGAAAGCTTTAAGAATGTAGATGCAGAACAATCACTGTCTAAAGTTTTAAGCGTACTCTAGGACTTAGCTCTTGACTCTTGGTTTTACTTTAACAGTCTCCGATAGAAAGTGAGGGCTTTATACATTTCGGATATTAGATACCTTGAGAGCTGGTTACAACATCATTGAGAAAGAATTGAGCAGCCTACAGTGGGTTGCAAAGCGTCACTTGTTAAGCCAATGTAGAACCACACACATAGAACTCTGCAACTGAGGCCAGGGACAGTGGCTCATGCCTGTTATCCCAGCACTTTGGGAGGCCGAGGCGGTGGATCACCTGAGGTCGGGAGTTCGAGACCAGCCTGGTCAACATGGTGAAACCCCATCTCTACTAAAAATACAAAAATTAACTGGGCGCGGTGGCGGGCACCTGTAATCCCAGCTAATCAGGAGGCTGAGGCAGGAGAATCACTTGAACCCGGGAGGCGGAGGCTGCAGTGAGCCAAGATCACGCAGCTGCACTCCAGCTTGGGCGACAGAGGGAGACTCCATCTCAAACAAAACAAAACAAAAAAAAAAAAACCTCTGCAACTGAATTCGTGCTGTGGTTGTAGAGTTCCAAGCGCAAACATATGGTAAGTTATATGCCAATGTCTTCCATGGCAATTACTAATTTTCTTTACCTTTTAGAATGACCCCATATGATCAAATTGTTTTTACCTTGGTGGCTTTATGATAATGTATAGTCTTTCTTTTTCTTTTTTTTTTTTTTTTTTGAGACAGAGTCTCATTCTGTTGCCCAGGCTGGAGTGCAGTGGCACGATCTCGGCTCACTGCAAGCTCCGCCTCCCGAGTTCACACCATTCTCCTGCCTCAGCCTCCCAAGTAGCTGGGACTACAGGCGCCAGCCACTACCCCCGGCTAGTTTTTGTATTTTTAATAGAGACGGGGTTTCACCGTGTTAGCCAGGATGGTCTCGATCTCCTGACCTCATGATCTGCCTGCCTTGGCCTCCCAAAGTGCTGGGATTACAGGTGTGAGCCACCGCACCTGGCTGCATTATTTCTCATAACTAAATATTAGAAACAACCAAAATGTTCATCAAAAGTGGAAAGGACAAATCAATTGTAGTATATTGTATTCATACAATTTAATTCCTCTGCAAGAATTGAAAAGAATGAACTACTGCTGTATACAACAACATGGATGGATCTCACAAACAAATAATATTAACCAAAAAAGCCAGATACAAAAGAGTACAGATTGTATTGTTCCATTCATATAAACTTTTAAAACGAGGGAATTGGATCTACAGGAATAAAAGTCAGAACAGTGACAACCTTTCAGGAGATAGAGACTGGGAGAAGGAGCACAGGAGACCTCTGGGTGTGCTCATGTTCTACTTCTTGATCTGGGCCATAAACAGGTGTGTTTACTTAAAACAAAAAAAAATCACAAGATCTACAAATTTAGAAAAGGAGAGGAGACTTATTTCTTGTAAAGGGTTGTGTCCTGTAAGGTGGTCATCCTACAGGCTGAGAAGCACGCCTCAGGCCAAGGCCAGAGACAGGCACTTCAAAGGAGGAGGAGTTGGGGTAGGAGCTTTATGTTGAACTGATTGTCTAAACATACATATTCACACCGGCTGTGGTGGCTTACACCTGTAATCCCAGCACTTTGGGAGGCCAAGGCGGGTAGATCACCTGAGGTCAGGAGTTCAAGACCATCCTAGTCCAACATGGTGAAACCCCATCTATACTAAAAATACAAAAATTAGCCAGGCATGGTGGTAGGTACCTGTAACCCCAGCTTCTTGGGAGGCTGAGGCAGGAGAATCGCTTGAACTTGGGAGGCGGAGGTTGCAGTGAGCTGAGATCATGCCACTGCACTCCAACCTGGGGGACAGAGCAAGACTCTGTCTCAATAAATATAAAAGTAAATAAATAAACAAACAAACATACATATTCATCAGGTTATAGGAGGAGCTATGAATACTCATGAAGGTGGTCCCGACACATGTGTATTGGACAAACATTGATGTAACATATGACCCATGTTCACCTTGGGATGGAGACCTAACATTTAAATGTATTACAATTAGGTCCTATATGTCAAAAGGCCTTTTCAGGACATGAAGGCACATTAAGTGGGAAGCCTCAGTAAACTGGCCAGAGGCAGTCCGTGGTGAGTGGTCTTCTTACCAGGAGAACATTATGGAAATCAGTCTGTTGTCCAATCAAAACTGTTCTTATGGTGGGTTGAACAGGGCTTTGGTTAGTAAGTGCCTATGACCTGGACGGGTTGCAGTTGTTTTCATATTGCTTATCTCGAGATAAGTGCTTGTTTAGCTGCCAGAGAAAAAGAAAAACCTTGTGACAGTGCATAGTTCATTTTATTTATTTTTTTGAGACGGCGGAGTCTCGCTCTGGAGTGCAATGGCACGATCTCGGCTCGCTACAACCTCCACCTCCTGGATTCAAATTTTCTGCTGCCTCAGCTTCCAGAGTGTCTGAGATGATAAGCACCCACCACCACGCCTGGCTAATTTTTGTATTTTCAGTAGAGACGGGGTTTCACCACGTTGGCCAGGCTAGTCTCCAATTCCTGACCTCAGGTGATCACCTGCCTTGGCCTCCCAAAGTGCTGGGATTACAGGCGTGAGTCACCGGACGCAGCCATAGGGTGGAGGGGTGCATGGCCTTAGGTCCTGTTTATACTTTGATATCTTATTGCCACACAGAGTCTGTTTCTGTCAATCTTATGATCTCTATTTTAACATTAATGCTGATCATTTGTGTCTAAACCACAAAAGAGAGGGGGTATAATGAGGCATGTCTGACCTCCCATTCCGGCAAGTCTGGGCACTCAGCTTTAAGGTGTTTTGGGGGTCCCTTTGTCCAAAAGGGGATCTGTTCAGTCAGGGGCTGGGGTGGGGCAGCATGGGGATTGGGGAGCTTAGTATTTTATTTTTAGTTTACAAAAGTTATTGAGTTTTCTGTGTTTTGTCTTCACTGAAAAATGTTTATGTTAAAAAGCTATCCTAGCTCTCAAAAAAAAGACAGAGAGAGAGAGAAAAGGCAGAACTTTCATAAGACTTGGGAGAAGAGATTTTGACTAGGAGTCAGCGGGTAAAGATTGAAGGCAGAATATTTCAGGTTATAGCTATGCGGGGCGGGGTGTCAAAGGACGAAAAGTGGAGAGTGCAGAGCCTGGTTGCAGAACAGCAAATAGCTTGGTGTGGCTTCAGTATCAGGGACTGGCAGGATAACACAGGAAAGAAAAGCTGGAATTAGATTTCAGAGGCCTTAAATGCCAAGTGATTGAGTTTAGACTTCAGATGAAAACAAATTAGAAACAAAAGCAAGGCCCCTTTTATCATTGCAACACTGAAACTCA